CGAGGATCGATCGTGCCGATACCTCCAGCGAGCGATGATCGAGGGCCTCGATACGTACTGCAACCTGCAACCCTGTAGGGCGCGTGCACGCCACTGACTGCCGAGTCCTCCAGGGAGGATAGGGTTTCGAGGTTCTCTGATCATCCTGCTCCTTGACTTTGTGTTTCTTTCCGCTCTTCATCCTGGTGCTCCGTGATCTCCCTCGCCCTCACCCTCATCATCATCATCATCATCATCATCATCAGCATCATCATCATCATCAGCATCAGCATCAGCATCAGCATCAGCATCATCATCATCATCATCATCATCATCATCATCATCATCATCATCATCATCATCATCATCATCATCGCCATCGCCATCGCCATCGCCACCGCCATCGCCACCGCCTTCGTCGTCAGCAGCATCATCATAATCATCCTCTCTTCTCTCTGATCTGGTTCCCGATCTCTGTCTCCCTCCTCCGAAGACCCCTCCTCTACTCGTCCTCGTCGTCGCTGTCGTCCTCTTCCTCGCCCTCATCCTCTCACCCATCCTCTGCTCCGCAGCCCTACGTTCATGGCCCGACAATCTTCCTGAAGGCCCCCAGGACAAAACGTGCACCGAACTCGCAACTTGGGATGCAAGGCCCTGTTGCAGCAGGCACACCAAATACGTACGAAACTGGCCTGCCAGCGCGTGCACCATGAGAACTTCTCGCCTCCCGACGGGGCCGCAGGGTCGTGAAGCACCCCGCGAAGGTCAGCGTCGGCGAAGGATGCCCCGCCTCCTCCGCCTCCTCCGCCTCCTCCTCCTCCTCCTCCTGCTCCTCCTCCGCCCCTCCCCCTCATCCTCCTCCTCCTTCTCCTCCTCCCCCCCTCCTCCTCCTCCTCCTCCCCCCCTCCCGCAGAGTTCCTGCAGCAAGCCTTTTTTGTCGTATGGTAGCTCTCCACCTCGACGGGCGAAGCACGGCATACAACAAACTTTTTCGCTGTCGGGGGCGCCTGTCCCTGGGCGGCTGGAAAGCTTATGCCCTTACGGTGGCACCGTGGGGGTATAAACTTTCCTGCCGCCCAGGGGCAGGCGCCCCCGACAGCGAAAAAGTTCATTGCATACCGTTCTTCGCTCGCTGACCACCACTTGACGCCCCGCGGGCCCCGCTCCCACCCCCGCGCCCCGCCCACCGGCTCGAGCGCACGGACCGCGCCCGGCGCGCCCCGTCCTGCCCACACACTGCCCGACGACCGGCGGCACCGCGTCGGCCACGCCCGCGACGTCTGCCGACCTCCTCCTCCCCCTCCTCCTCCTCCCCATCCTCCCCCTCCTCCTCCTCCCTCTCCTCCTCCTCCTCCCCTCCTCCTCCTCCTCCTCCTCTCCTCCTCCTCCTCCTCCCCCTCTTCCTCCACTTTTCGCTCCTCCTCTTTCTCGTCCTCCTCCTCCTTTCTGCCTTCTCCTCCTCCTCTCCTCCTCGTCCTCCTCCTCCTCCTCGTCCTCCTCCTCCTCCTCCTCCTCCTCCCGAGCCATCCTGGCCCGAGCCGTCCTGGCCCGCGGGCCCGAAGGGGCATCGGGCCCGGCGTGCTCCCCCCGTCTCGCCCGCGGGCCGCCCAGCGGCGCCGCGCCGGCCTCGGTGTTCGGTGTCTTTTTCAGCTCCTCCTCTTCCTCCTCCTCCTCCTCCTCTCCTCCTCCTCCTCCCTCCTCCTCCCTCCCTCCTCCTCTCTCCTCCTCCCCGCCGCCTCCCTCCTCCTCCTCCTCCTCTTCCTCCTCCTCCTCCTCCTCCTCCTTCTCCTCCTCCCCCTCGTCCTCCTCCTCCTCCGCGGTCGCTCCGTGGTCGGCGATCGCGGGGTCGGCGGCCTGCGGCCTCGGCGGCTGCGCGATCGGCGGCCTCGGCTTCGGCGGCCTCGCGGGCCCGTCCGCCTCGAGGGGTGCTGCAGCGATCGCGGGGTCGAGAGCTCCCGTCGTGGCCGTTCCGCGACCATGTGCGGTTGTCGCTGCCACGGCGCCCCGGGTCTGGTCTCCAGGAGTGTTTTCCTGGGCTCGAGCGCCCTCGTGGGGCCTCTCAGGCAAAGGGCGGCGAAGGTGACGTGCCGCCACTGCTGCTGTCTGCGCCCTCCCGCCAGTACGAAATTCTAGCAGGGCTCTGCAACTATCCTGCCAGAAGCGGACCTCATGACAATCTCCACAGCGCTTCACACAGGTGGTCGGCCTCCAGTCGGCCCGTGGCACCCTGGACGGGCGAGGCGACCAGTGGCGTGATGTCGGATGCAAGATCTGGTCGCGTGGTCGGACGGCGTGGTCGGCTCCGCGGTGGGCTCGACGCCGAGGCCCCGATGGAGGGCCGCCGCGCGCGGTCCTGGCTGGCGCCAGCAGCGGTGGCGGCCGCTGCCCTGGCGCTCTGCGCGAGGTGGCCGTCGAGCCCGTCGTGGGTCCCGCCGGGCACGGACGCCGGCGCGCGGCCCGCCGCGGTGCAGCCCCAGGAGGGGAGCCCCAGGCCTCCGAGCATGATCGGGGCCGGGAGCAGTCAGGGGTAGTTTTACGTCGGGCCTGTGCCCCTACAGGGGGATTTTCGACGAAAAGTAGAACATACCCCCAAAATACCATCAAAAAGGTCGAAACATATGCAAAAAATTGTCCCCAGACTATCTATGGACTATTTTTCCCCATATCCTAAGATGGGGTTCTTGTTATTACATGGACGCCTCCTACTCCTCCTCCTCCCTCCTCCTCTTTTCTCCTCCCCTCCTGTCGGACTTACTCATACTCATACTTGCTCATACACAGATTTACTCATACTCAGACTTACTCATACTCAGACCTACTCATACTCAGACCTACTCACACTCAGACATACTCATACACAGACTTACTCATACACAGACTTACTCATACACAGATTTGGAGGATGTCTCGAGCGAGGCGCTCATTTCAGCACCCCTAAGGGGAGCCGCCAGGGGTGTTTGCACGGGCTCGTTCGCGGCCATTTTGTGGGGATGTATCAGGCGGTTTGCTTGTTTCTGGGCCCAACATCCTTCGCTTTCGGAGCAGATTTGGAGGATGTCTCGAGCGAGGCGCTCATTTCAGCACCCCTAAGGGGAGCCGCCCGGGGTGTTTGCACGGGCTCGTTCGCGGCCATTTTGTGGGGATGTCTCAGGCGGTTTGCTTGTTTCTGGGCCCAACATCCTTCGCTTTCGGAGCAGATTTGGAGGATGCCTCGAGCGAGGCGCTCATTTCAGCAACCCTAAAGGGGAGCCCGCCAGGGAGTTGTTTGCACGGGCTCGTTCGCGGACATTTTATGGGGATGTCTCTCAGGCGGTTTGCTTGTTTCTGGGCCCACATCCTTCGCTTTTCGGAGCAGATTTGGAGGATGTCCTCGAGCGAGGCGCTCATTTCAGCACCCCTAAGGGGGATCCGCCAAGGGGGTGTTTGCAACGGGCTCGTTCGCGGCCCATTGTGTGGAGATGTCTAAGGCCTGTTGCTTGTTTTTTTCTGGCCCAACATCCTTCGCTTTCGGAGCAGATTTTTGGAGGCCCTCTCGAGCGGCCGCTACATTCACCCCCCCCCCAGGTGGGCCAGATTTTGAGGATGTCTCGATCGGTTTGCTTGTTTTGGTGCCAGGCTCGTGGGCGCATATTCTTCTCTGGATGCCACAGGAGGCTCCAACAGGCTCCAGGAGGCCCCAGGAGACATCATGAGGTCCCAGGAGGCATCAGGAGGCCACAGAAAGACTCAAGAGGCCACAGGATGTCCCAAGAGGCTCCAGGAGGCCCCAGGAAGCTCCAGAAGGCCTCAGGAAACCACAGGAGGCCCCAGGAGGCAACAGGACGCGCCAGGAGGCCTCGGAAGGCAACAGGAGGCCCCGAGAGGCCCCAGGAGCAGGAGGCCTCAGAAGGCAGCAGGAGTGGCTCCAATCCCATGTGTTTTACGTATGCTCCTATCGATTGGGCCTCACCTGGAGCACGATTCTTTGATGTTCTACGTATGTTTCTATAGATGGTCCTTCTCCTGTGTACACAATCCTAAATGTTTTACTCATGTTCCTATGTGTTGGGCCTCTCCTGGGGCACGAGTCCTTGGTGTTTTACGCGTGTTCCTATAGATTGCCCTTCTCCTGTGGCTCTAATCCGCAATGTTTTATGTACGTCTGTTGCTATAGATTGCGCCTCTCCTGGGGCACGAAAGCTTCCTAGGAGGTCCCAGGAGGTCCCAAGAGGCTCCTGGAGACCCCAGGAAGCCCCAGTAGGTTTCAGGAGGCCCCAGGAGGCCCCAGGCTCATGCACAGAGACGCGCTCGTACTACTGAGGCTCATTCACACTCCAATTCATCCGCAGTTAGATTGATGTCCAGACCGTCACAACTGAAGCCCGTTAATATTCGAAAGCTCTTGCGCCTAGACATTCACGGCGGACAGGTCCATGCGAGTAGATGCACATATGGGGGGCTCCACGCAGTGAATAATTTGTTATTTTTGTGGTATTTTTTTTGTTCGTCGAACATCCCCCTGTAAGTAGGGGGACAGGCTCCAAAAAGGTCAATACATATTTAAAAAATAGTCCCCAGACTATTTTTTGATTATTTTTGTGCTATGTTTGTGGCATTTTTTTCGTCGAAAATCCCCCTGTAGGGGGACAGCCCCGACATAAGGGTAGTGACAGACTCGCGCCTCGGGGGCCCAAGCCGGAGCGTTACCCGGGACCGCGGTTTTGTCCTGGATGAGATTCGGGCGTCGAGGAGAGGTGAGTCGGCGCCGGTGCCGTTTCGGTTGCCGTCGCCGCCGCCGCTGTCGCCGTCGTCGCCGTCGTCGCCGTCGTCGCCGCCGTCGCCACCGCCGCCGCTGTCGTCGTCGTCTTCGTCTTCGTCGTCGTCGTCGTCTTCGTCGTCGTCGTCGTCGTCGTTGTCGTCGTCCGCGGCCTGCTCCGCAGAGGACGCCGTGGAACCCAGCGGCGGCCTCGCGCCAGCCCTGGCCGCGGCCGCTGCGCGCCCAGCCGCGCCGCTGGCCGCGCCGCTGGCCGCCGCCGGCGCCGCGCTCGCCGCCGCGCTTGCGCTCGGGCGCCGGCGCCGGCAGCCGGCGCGGGGGCTGCCGCAGAGGAAGGCGCGCGGCGGCGAGGCCGTGGAGAACACCGACCAGGCGCGTTTCGTTTTCCTTCTCCCTTCGGTCCAGGGGGGTACGCCTCTTTCACTCTGCCAGTTTTGCGCCCGCGCTCGGGCCCTCGGGCCCTGGGTCCATCACAGGTCGGCCCTGCGCGAAAAATGCCGCAGGAAGATGGGATCTGGGGTTCCCGGTCGTGCTTTTGGGCGATGTTGCAGTTCTCTTGCGACGTCGGATCTCAGGGACGGCCGGGCGCAGCTCGAAAAGCCCTTGACCGGACTTGGGGCCCAAGCCCTTTCACCCGCAGGGGCGGGAAGGTGGTCTCGTTTCGCGGCCTGGGCGGGAGAGGTGTTTTTCTCCAGGTGGTGGCGCGAGAGCGCAAAGATGAGCGCCTGCCGCTCGTAAAGCAGCGCGGGGCGCGAGCTTGGGCGACTGGGGGGTGGCCACGGGCATACACTTCTGCACACCCGGGGCGGTGGCCTCCTGAGGAGACGGGCCTCCCCCACCTGGAGACCATGCACTTCGCACGTTCTGGAGAGGAGGAGGAGGAGGAGGAGGAGGAGGAGGAGGAGGAGGAGGAGGAGGAGGAGGAGGAGGAGGAGGGAGGGAGTATGGTAAGGAACGAGGAGGAGGAGGATGAGGGAGGAGTAGGATGATGCGGAGGAGGAGGAGGAGGAGGAGGAAGAGGAGGAGGGAGGAGGAGGAGGAGGAGGAGGAGGAGGAGGAGGTAGGAGGAGGAGGAGGAAGGAGAGGAATAGGAGGAGGAGGAGGAGGAGGAGGAGGAGGAGGAGGAGGAGGAGGAGGAGGTGGCCACGCCCCCCGTGGCCCTCCGCTAAAGGAGAGCGCCTGGGACCTGGACGGCTCGATCTGGGACGTCCTGACGAACACGGACAGCTACATCGAGGAGGACAGGCAGTTCCGCCGCCCAGTCTTCGGGTACGCGGACTGGAGGCGACACCGCTCCGCGCAGCGTTTCATGAGGAACTTGTCGAGTCTGCCCGTCTCGACCACCATCCGGGCGAACTGGAAGGAGGTTCTGTCCGTCACCACCGTGGCCGCCGCGCTGTGCCTGTGGAACGATGCCGAGGCCGCCGCTGCGGCGCTCAGCCTCGGCCCCGACGCGGTGGCCTTCGCGAAGTCTCTGCCGGAGCTGAGCCTGCCGGGCCTCCCTTTCACGGTCAGCTCGGCCTCCCTGTCATTGCTGCTTGTCTTCCGCACGAACAAGGCCTACGAGCGATGGTGGGAGGCACGCTGCATCTGGGGTGCGATCATCAACACGTGCCGCGACATCGTTCGCCAGTCCCTTGTAAGAATGGACCCACAAGACATGGCCCTCAAGGCGGAGGTGACTCGCTTGGTGTCCGCTTTCCCACGCTCGTTAATCTACCATGTCGGTGAGCGCACAGACATTTCCAACCTTGTACTCGAGAAGAAGTATAGAAAAATCTTGACAGACGAAGAGACAGACAAGCTGTTGAAGTGCACTCACAAGCCAATGACGGTCACTGGCATGCTAGCTGACGCGGTCCACCGCGCGAAGTTGCCAGTGATCGACGAGATGAAGATTGACCAGGACATCACAAAGTTCTCGGACTACTACGGCATGTGCGAGCGTATCTTCAAGACACCCATTCCGCTTTCGTATACACGCCTGACCTCGAGATTCCTGAGTATCTGGCTTCTGACACTCCCGCTTGCGCTGTACGCGGCGATCACACCCCATTGGCTGATCATCCCAATCACTGCCATCATTGCCTTCTTCATATTCGGCATCGAGGAGATCGCGTTCCAGATCGAGGAGCCATTCTCGGCGCTGGCCATGAACGCGATGGCGGACGGCATCGACGCGAGCATCTTCGAGGCGCTGGAGCTGGAGAAGAAAGATCCGTTCACGTTCAAGCCGCGCGACGGGTGGAAGAGGAAGGGGGGGAGAAATCGACGAGTACCGCCAAGCCTCCGTAGGCCCGATTCGTGCCCCTAGATCCTGATGGATAAGGCTGGGAACTTTCTCTTAGCGAGTCGCGTCGCCCGTTCTGGCTCACCACGCTGCGGCGCGACACGCTAAACAAGTCCCAGTCCCCAAGCATCAACGCTCCGAGCTTGTTCCGGCCTCCCGCCCCAGGAAGCCGAGCGACACACCATCAGCGTGAAAGTGCGTCGCAAGGGCCGTCGCCGCCAGACGCTGGGCAAAATACCATATTGGCTCCTGGCTAGGCCCCGGAGACCCTATCCACCAAGGTTCGGGACGGGCCCGTGGACCCTGCGATCCGACGTTGTGAGACCGGAGCCCTCGACACCATATTGTACAGGCCTGACGGCCGGTGTCGCCGACCCAGGAGGACGACGACAACCGCGACGGCCACGACGACCACGACCACGACAACGACAACGACGAGCTGATGATGACCCTGCCACAAGATCGGGACATGGGGCGGGCGGTGCGGGGACAAGGAGGAGGAGAAGGAGGATGAGGAGGAGGAGGCAGAGGAGGAGGATGAGGAGGAGGAGGAGGAGGAGGAGGGGGCAAGCCATGTGCACTCGCGTCATGCTTGACGTCCTACCCCTCCTTCCCATCCCTTTCCATGGCGTAGATGTCCTTTCTATTCGCACAATCGGATGTCGCAACATGGCATAGCATTACATGGCATAGCATGTTGTTGAAGATCAACGCGTAACATGACATAACATGGCGTGGCGATGCCCCAAAGTGGGGGCTTTTGTGGCCCAAAAAATCAACGAATCGACACAGAATGTGGAATCACGTCCGATGGTTTTTTTCGGGAGGCCATTTTCTAGATGTTGGGGCCTATTTGGAAGGACTGAAAAAACTGCAATGGCATGGCGCTGGAAATAATAACGCAGTGCAAGCACGATTCGGGACGAGGGGAAGCGCGGAAATGAGGCCAGCGCTGCAGCGGGAACACGATTCGGAATGAGCGGTAGCCCGAATATGAGGCCAGTGCTTCAGCGAGATCAGCATTTGCACAAAAAAATCCAAGCGCGGAAACGCGGCAATGAGGACGCGTAGCCTGACACAGCATGGCGTGGCGACGCCCCAAAGTGGTGGGGGGCTTCTGCGACCCAAAAAGTCAAAGAATCGGCACCGAATGTGGAATCACGTCCGATGGTTTTTTCGGGGGCCATTTACTAGATGTTGGGGCCTATTTGGGAAGACCAGAAACCATGCCGTGGTATGGCACTGGAAACAATGACGCCAGCGTTGCAGTGGGAGCACGATTCGGGATGAGCGGAAGCGCGGAAATGAGGCCAGCGCTGCAGCGGGAGCACGATTCGGAATGAGCGGTAGCCCGAATATGCGGCCAGCGCTTCAGCGAGAGCAGCATTTCGAAACAAAGAACCAAGCGAAAACCAAGTTCCCAGGAAACTTGTGTAACAAACCAGTGCGCGGCTGGGGGCCGGCCTTTTTTATTTTTCCTTTTCCCCCGAACCAACCAGGGGAGAGAGGAAAAAGAAGTAGTTCTCAGATTGTGTAATTTTAGAGGAAGGAGGGAGAAGGACGGAAGGGAGGAGGAGAAGGAGTAGGAGTGAGGTGAGAGGAGGAGGAAAAGGAGGAGGAGGAGGAGAGGGGGAAAAAAAGTTGGGGGGGGAGGGAGGAGGAGGAGGAGGAGGAGGAGCAAGAAGGAGGAGAGAAGAGGAGGAGGATGGGAGGAGAAGGTAGGAGAGGAGGAGGGAGGAGAAACGATGACGAGGGACGAGGACGAGGGCGAGGAGGCCAAGGAGGGAGGAGGGATAGTAGGAGGAGAGGAGGGAAAGGAGGAGGACGAGGAGACGAGGAGAGGAGGAGGAGGAGGAGGAGGGGAGGAGGGAGGAGGCACAGCTCGCAGGAGGAGGAAGGAGAAGGAGGAGGAGGAGGAGGCAGGAGGAGGAGGGGAGGAGAGGGAAGGGAGGAGGGGTGGAGAAGGGAGGAGGAGGAGGGGAGGAGAAGAGGAGGAGGGAGAGGAGACGGAGGAGGAGGAGTAGGAGGGAGAGAGAAGGACGGGAGGAGGAGGTGGAGGAGGGAGGAGGGAAGGAGGAGGAAGAGGAGTACGAGGAGGAGGCGGATTGATGGAGGAGGAGGAGGAGGGAGGAGAAGCGAGAAAGCGGGAGGACGGGAGAGAGGGGGTGGGAGGAAGGGGGCAGGGAGGAGGGAGGAGGGAGGAGGGAGGAAGGAGGAGGGAGGAGGAGCAGGAGGAAGAAAGGAGGAGGAAGAAAGAGGAGGAGGATGTGGAGGCCGGAGGAGTGGAGGGAGGAGGAGGAGGAGGAAGGAGACGGCGGACGCGCGGACGATGATCAGGACGAGGGCGAGGAGGAGAGGGAGGAGGAGGAGGAGGAGGAGGAGGAGGAGGAGGAGGAGGAGGAGGAGGAATGCTCATAATCGTAATACTAACAAAATGATTAAGAATAATGCTAATACTACTACTACTACTACTACTACTAAGAATATTCAGAATATAATAATAATACTAATACTGATAACAATAATAATACTATTAATAATAATACTAATAATAATACTACTACTAGCAATACTACTAATAATAATACTAATACTAATAATATTAATAATAATACTAATACTACTAATACTACTACTACCACTACTACTACTACTACTACTACTACTACTACTACTACTACTACTACTACTACTACTACTACTACTACTACTACTACTACTACTACTAACTACTACTAACTACTACTAACTACTACTAACTACTACTACTACTACTACTACTACTACTACTACTACTACTACTACTACTACTACTACTACTACTACTACTACTACTACTACTACTACTACTACTACTACTACTACTACTACTACTACT